TCTTTAGGTATTAAATATCATTCCATCTATTGATTTACTATGGATATCTCCTAAGAATAAATTGACCTCTCTCTGACCTCAGTTTGATTAGGAAAAAGGCTGACTTGATGCATAAGCCAAGGAATGGGTTTAGGAAAATAAACTGGAAAATAACAGAACCTTAAAGCTACATTTGGTTAAAATGTCCAGTCAGCAAAGCAGTAAGTAAACACCTAAAAGTAATTTCCCCTTTGTACGGTATTTTGACTTCTTGAATTTATTGCTATTTTTAATCTGGTGGCAATTTCGTCACCAGTCCAACAAATCAAATGGGCCTTCCTTATTAAGAGATGGGGCCCGGTAAGTACTAGGTGGCTCTCTGGAGCACCCCTAGCCATACAGAATCACCCCCTGCCCTGCCCCTCCCACACACCCCACACACACAGTGGCCTGCCCCCGCTGCGCCACACACACACACACACACACACACACACACGCATGCACGCACGCACGCACACACACACACACACGCACCACACACACACGCACACACACACACACACACGCATGCACGCATGTATGGTGGCCTGTCCATCACCCCACCAAGCAATTCTCTAATCTCAGGGTGCAATGAAGAAAGTCCCTTCCTATGAGACTCCTTCCTTCTGCAGGGTACAGTCTGGGGCCCTGCGTCCCTGTAGTTCTGTCTGAAGAGGGTATAAGAGGCAGGTTTCCAGGCCTCTTGGTGACATGCTGCTGCGGCCACTACAGCCACTGCAGAGGTCCACCGCAGCCAGAGGATGCCTGACCTCCATGCTCCCTACTGAGGTTAGATCATCTAAGTTAGCAGAGTTGGTGTTTATCAAGAGTGCCGAGGCTCTCGGGCAACTAGCTGGGTTTATGACGTGTCTTTCAGCCAGTAGGAAGAATGGGATGGTGGCTTTTTTTTTTTTAACTGACATAAATCTACATACCATAAATTCCACCATCTTAAAGAATGCAGCTGGGCGCAGTGGCTCATGCCTGTAATCCCAGCACTTTGGGAGGCCAACACGGACAGATCACCAGGTCAGGAGATCAAGACCATCCTGGCTAACACAGTGAAACCCTGTCTCTATTAAAAAATACAAAAAATTAGCTGGGTGTGGTGGCACGTACCTGTAGTCTCAGCTACAGGATGAGGGAGGAGAATCGCTTGAACCCAGGAGGCTGAGGTTGCAGATTGCACCTGAGCGACAGAGCAAGACTCTTTCAACAACAACAAAGTATACAACTCCACAGGTTTTAGTATATTCACAAAGTTGTACAACCATCACCACTAATTCCAGAACATTTTCATGTTTTGTTTTTTTTTTGAGACAGAGTCTTGCTCTGTCACCCAAGCTGGAGTGCAGTGGCACCGTCTCGTCTCACTACAACATCCGCCTCCCAGGTTCAAGTGATTCTTCTGCCTCAGCCCCCAAGGTGGCTAGGACTACAGGCGTGTGCTACCACACCAGGCTAGTTTTTGTGAATTTAGTAGAGATGGGGTTTCACCATGTTGGCTGGGCTGGTCTCAAACTCCTGACCTCAGGTGGTCCACCCCCCTCTGCCTCTGGCAGTGCTGAGATTACAGGCGTGAGCCACCATGCCCAGTCAGAACATTTTCATCCTTTAATTTATTTTTAATTTTTTAATTAGTTAATTAAATTAATTAATTAGTTGAGCTTGTTTCAAATTCAGCGGCCTTGATTCCGCAAACCGCAGCAGTTAAAAACAAGGATATCAGGAAATTTTTGGATGGCATCTATGTCTCCGAAAAAGGAACTGTTCAGCAACAAGATGCCAATGACTCCTAAGACCTACTTTGTACCCCCTCACTCCCCCCGCCTCCCAGGCCTGGGCTTCTGGTCCCTCCTACTCCCTTTGGCAGGAGTGGTGATTTTCCCACTGAAGTGATATCTAAACGATGCAATAAAATACTTACTGATTTGGAACATTTCCTTAAAAAACAAAAATTTAATTAATTAGTTAATTTTTAAAGACAAGGTCTCTGTTGTCCAGGCTGAAGTGCAGTGCTGTGATCTTGGCTCATTGCAGCCTCAAACTCCTGCCTCAAGCGATCCTCCTGCCTCAGCCTCCTGAGTAGCTGGGACTACAGGTGTACACCACCATGTCTGGCTAATTTTTAATTTTTTTTGTAGAGATCAGGTCTTACTCTGTTGTCCAGGTTGGTCTCAAACTCATCTTCCTCTTTAAATTCTCACTTTTGAACAAGATGGCGCCATGGGCTCACTGGAGATCCATGCTCCTTGGGTTCCTTGCTGGGCTTTCCCATTGGCCTGGATTGGGATGTTTCTTTCCCAAGCATTTTATTGAGTTCATTTTTCTCATCTGAGGTAAAAAGGTACTCTCAGAGGGGTAGGTTGGCAGGGCGCAGTGGCTCACTCCTGTAATCCCAGCACTTTGGAAGGCCGAGGCAGGTGGATCACTTGTGGTCAGGAGTTAAAGACCAGCCTGGCCAACGTGGTGAAACCCCGTCTCTAGTAAAAATACAGAAATTATCTGGGCATGGTGGCAGGCGCCTGTAGTCCCAGCTACTTGGGAGGCTGAGGCAGGAGAATCACTTGAACCCAGGAGGTGGAGGTTGCAGTGAGTTGACGAGATTGTGCCAATGTACACCAGCCTGGGCGACAGAGTGAGACTCTGTCTCGGAAAAAAAAAATGGTGGGGACAGGCTGAGCAGGCAGTCACCACCATGTCTGGGCCTCTGGGCCCCTGTGGTTAAATGCAGGACTCAAGAAAGGCTTCCTGAGGGACTGCTGTGCACCATGTCTGGGGATGTGGGTGTGCTGCGACAGGGGTGGTTAATTGAGGCTTGTCCATGCTACCTCTGTGCTTCCCTTTCTCCAAAGCCCTCTTTGCTGTGGCCTGTAGGTTAAAGGTGTAAGTTACAGATGTGGCTATCTTGATGCTGGATGGATTCTAGATGAGATATAGATGGGTTTGGTGTCCTCATGGCTGGCAGGCCTGGGAAGAAGTGAGACAGAGTTTAGCAGACAGTGAGGCCTTTATAAAACAGTCTTTGTCAACACAAAAATGTTTAAAGAAAAAAAAAAATGAGGCCTAGACTCGGTGTGGCCTCTCTGGATGGGAAACTGGATAAGAATCAGGTTATTTCAATTCTCTAGCTGGCAGAGTCTGGTGTCTCTAAAGCAGATTCATCCCACTGTTAGCTGCCCAGGTCCAGGTGTTTTGGTAGCTGTGAAAGGAAAGCAAAAAGAAAAGAGCCCACAAGGGTGGGGACCTCCACGGGGAATGCTCTGGGGAACGGAGAACTGGTGTCCCCTCAATGCCTGGAACACTACAGCTGCTTCAGAGACTTTTTAGAAGAGCGACTTCTGTGTGCAATCACTCTGTCTTGCACAATCCTTATCATCACCCTGAGGGTATGGAGGTGTTCATTCATTTCATTAATTCATTAATTCATTCATTCTACAATACTAATTGCCTACATACCAGGAGCCTGATGCTGTCGGTATACGTGAGGACACACACTCAGAGTGTGGAAACAATTTTCGAAGTTGAGGCAGGATGGCACGTGTGTGAGGGGTGAGGGCTTGGGGAACCCATGGGCACTGCCTTGAGTCATGGGTCCACCACCACTCTCCTCCCTGCTTTGGCGGCCAACCCAGTCTTACCTTTCAGGCCCTAATTTCCTCACTGTAAATGGAGCCGTCCTAGAACTTATCTCAAAGGGCTGTTTGAAGATTGAATGAGATTACTTGTGGGTGCAGGGGGCGTTTGGGAAGAGGCTGGCACATTGTCCAAGGCCTTGTAGTGAGTCAGGGTTGGAACCCACTTTTGTCTGAGCAGAAAAACAGACCTTGGGCTGGGTGTGGTGGCTCACAACTGTAATCCCCGAACTTTGGGAGACTGAGGCGGGTAGATCACCTGAGGTCAGGAGACCAACTTGGCCAACATGGTGAAACCCTGACTCTACAAAAATATAAAAATTAGCTGGGCATGGTGGTGGGTGCCTGTAATCCCAGCTACTTGGGAAGCTGAGGCTGGAGAATCACTCGAACCTGGGAGGTGGAGGTTGCAATGAGCCGAGATCATGCCATTGCACTCCAGCCTGGGTGACAAAAGTGAAACTCCTTGTAAAAAAAAAGACTTCTCCCTTGCTGTCGGCTGCCTCTAGGACCCATCTGCCTCCTTCATCCCTCTGAGTCTTTGAGGATCTGAGAAGCCCTTCACCTACCTGCCTCGAGGTGACAGGCACCCTGGGCTGAGAGTGGGTGTGGAAATGCGCCCCAGCAACAGGTGTAGGAAAAGTAGGCCTGACCTGCGGCCATCCACCTGCACCTGGGCGTTCTCGCCTGAGGCTGGCTCACTGCTTCTCTAGGACTGTTCTAGAATCCTGCAGGAGTTTGGAAAACATGGGCTCAGCACAGATACCTGTGAGAATGAGCTCACCATCCCCGCCCCCCACCGTGAGAATGGGGGCAGGTCACCCCTGGCCTCCTCTCAGGCCTCCGAGGGTGCCCAAATGTGATTACGCACCAGGGTAGCATTCGCTTCCCTGTCCTCCTCCTAAAGAGTCGCTTTCTCCCAGTGCAGGAGCAATGAGTCTCCCGTTCTCACCCCAGGGAGGAGAATCCGCCCTTCGGTTTTGCGCAGGTGGAGATCTTGGGGGCGCGGTTCGGGGTCCTGCAAACCATGAGTGTGCGAGGAAGGCTAGTTTCAGATGAAACCGTTTCTGTCCCGCAACAACCCGAGGGCAGAAACCCTTCCAAAAGGAAGCAGAGAGGCTTTCTGTCCTCTTGATACCAGGACGCGGTGGTCCTGGGGCAGCTTCTCCTGGGAGGGTCGCGGGGTGCTCTGGCTGGGATCTATAGTGGTTGGGACAGGAGGGTGGGTGGGGAGCCCCGTCTCCATAGCCGCGGGAGGTCTTCGGCTCTGCCCCCCTGCCCGTGCCCTCCTACCCACCCCAAGGGCGCCCCACCGCGCGCGCAGGGCAGCGTGAAAACGGTGGGAAAATGCAGGGCGCGCGCCTCGGGGGCTGCCCCAGTTCCCCCCTGCAGCTCCGCGCTGCTCAGGACCGGTGTCCGACTTTGCCTCTCCCGGAACCTTTAAGGCCGGTGCGGGGAGCTGAGCCCCAGCCCCTCGGCTGAGGCAAGCCCTGCCCGGCACAAGGTCCCCAGCATGGCGCACCCGGCTCCCGAACGCCGCGTGCCGACAGTGTCCCTTCCTACCCCAGCCACCCGGGACTCGAGAGCCGTGCAGGGCTGAGCCTCGCGCCCCGAGGCACCCCGAGCCAAGTCAGCCCTGCAGCCCGCGGCGCCGGAACTTGGAGGTGCGGTGAGTGGGGGTGGGGCGCTGGGCCGGCGGGAGGTGGCTGTGGCCGGGTGCCGGTTCCTGGCTCTAGAAGTCCTTTCGCGTCTTCTAGAATCTGGGGCTGCATTGGCCCTCCGAGCTCTCCCGACTGCCAATGTCGAAGAGACAGCGGGTCCAGACCAGGGACATCCCCTACACCCGCGTCCAGGACTTGGGTTTCTTCCCTCTTCCAGGGGAGAAGCCCTCCCACTGGGCGTCGCGGCGAGCCCCCAGTGGTTTCCGTTTGCTTTTTTACAGTACCCTCCACCCCGCCCCAGCCCGGCCCCACTCGGGCCTTGGTCCCACCGCAAAGGGGCGAGGAATCCCCGGAAGAGTCGCGATGACTGGGGAGTCCGGGACCTCGGCTCCCGGTAGGCGCACCCCGGGACCAGGCGGCGGCGTGGGCGAGGGGCGCTGCGCAAACTCCGCGCTCTAGCTGGGGAAACGCCAGCCCAGGCGGGCGGAGGCAGTGGAGGGGGTGCGGGGGGACCCCGTGCCTGGTGGGGCTGGCCCCGCGGTGGTCCCCACGCCACCCCCCTGAGGTGTGTCCCGCATCTACGCCCTAGGCCGCGGCCGGCGCTCCGACCCCTCCCCCGCACCGACGTGACCCGGATCGCACGGTGCTGGCACCGCCCTTGTGCGCCCGCCTGGCCCCCACTTGGTCCCCTTTCCTTTTCAGGTGGAGGAGCTGCCGCCACTCTGTTGGTCTTGGGCTAGCCCAGCTCCCAGGATCCTGGGCTGGAGAGACTCGTCGCGGCCCCGGGCCCGTTGGCACCGGCAGGAAGGAGGACCCGGCGGCGGGCTCTGCCTGGGCTTGCCTGGGCTTGTTCCGAGCCGGCTGCTTCCCGGTGACCAAGCAGATCGGGGGCATTTGGAGATTTTGCGGGAGTCCTGCAGCCAAGCCCCGGGGCAGGAGAGGCCTGGAAGCCTGCACTACCTGCTCGCTCCGCCCAGCGGGCACCCAGGTAAACGCTTGTGTTTCTCAGTCTGTGTGAAAGTTTGAAAAGAAGGAGGCGGGGAACTAGACCAACAACTTGAATAATCATAGTCATCATAATGAAAACCCTGTTCAATTGTGTATCCTGTGTCATAAGGGGAGGACTTTCCAAGAAGCAACAAAATGCTCTTTGATTTCATCATCTCTGGGGAGAAAGGGTTCCTTTTTGGGGGGTTTTGCCTGGCTAGTTCTTTCTTCGCTCCTCGCTCTCCAGCGTGGTGCGAGGAAGTCCGACGGGTCCATGGGTGGAAAATGGCTCACGCCTGTAATGCCAGCACTTTGGGAGGCCGAGGCGGATGGATCACTAGGTCAGGAGATCAAGACCATCCTGGCCAACATGATGAAACCCCGTCTCTACTAAAAATACAAAAATTAGTTGGGCGTGGTGACACGTGCCTGTAGTCCCAGCTACTCGGGAGGGTTAAGGCAGGAGAATCCCTTGAACCCGGGAGGTTGCAGTGAGCCGAGATTGCGCCACTGCACTCCAGCCTGGACAGAGCAAGACTCTGTCTCAAAACAAACCAAAAAAAAGTGGAGGCATTGATACAAGCCAGCCACGGTTGTAAAAAAAATCTCGCAAGAATGGGAAAGGAAAAATGCTTCGGTCACTAAAGTAGCGTTGTCTAAGAGGTTGAGGCTTTGGTGGACTTTTGCTCTAGAAAAGGGGAACCGGAGGGGCTTTCAGCCAACCTGGCCCCGAGGTGAACGCGCGCGCCCTCTGCTGCCCAAAGCTCTGTCCTGCCTGGGAGCCGCCGGTGGGGAAGGAGACTGTGGGGAAGGTGGTCCCTGGAGTTCCCTGCTCCTG